TTTTTCTAAAACATAGAATAGTAAATAAAGAAGTAAAGCAAACAATTATCTCTTCCAATCACGACCTTTGTACTGGGTTGCTGCTTGTTGTAGGTTGCCAAGTCTTTTTTTTTTAGCTTCATGTATACATTTGAATAACTAAAAAATTATAAATTACTACATCAATACCATAGGATTCAACTATAATTTATCAAGCTTAGTAACTAAGATGTACTTGGGTTTAAAAAAAAGTATGAAATTTCAAGCAGACTACAGACACAACCTACCCCATTGAAATCTTTGTTCAAAAGAGGGAAATGGCACTAGTCACATTAGAAAGGCTGAGAAAACCACTGAGCTTCCAATTGGTTATTCATGTCATATATAGAATTAAGTGTATATGAGGGAGTGTTTCCAAAAATGGAACGAGGTGGGCGGGGTGCCATTGTGTTTGATTTAGTACATGAGCAATATCTTTGCAAATAAAAAAGATAAGACCTCCTTATTTTATATTCTAACTTGTCAATATCTAATACATCTAATTTGAACCAGTGCTGCATTCAACATATCATGTGACACACAAAAATCGATGTTTATCTGTGTTTTTTAATATTTATTTTAAATTAAGAAATTGATTAATGTATAGTACTAAAATTTGAATTATAATCTACAGTTTGATACCAAACTTGACATAAATTCGTGAAATAGTAGTTCAATAAAATTTTGAATGTGAGTCTAAAAACAAGATGACATGGCCTTTCACCTGTGACTTGTCTCAAAAAAGTTAATTAGTGGTGATTCTAAGCACAAGCTCTCCTTAAAAACATTTCATTTCAGATTTTACTTTGCTTGAAGTGTGAAAATACTCAGTTTAAATTACCCTTTTCAAGAACAAGATATTCTTATTAACCATTAAATGCCAAAAGACCATCCATGCTTTATGCATGTAATTAAGAAGATAAATGAGAGATTCAGGGCATCAAATCAACTGGAAATCAACATGAATTTTACATAAAACAGATAACTACACAAAAGAGGAACTGTCAAAAATTGCTTAATCTGCTAAGTTTGCCTCATTTCAACACCTCCCAAAGTCACTTCAAGTAAAATAGCTTTCTAACCACTTGTGTCCTTAAAGGAATTCTACATTTTGGGGTCAGATAGGTATTGTTGACCAGTTTTTCTACCAGAAGATAACATCAGATTAAAGAGGACACATGAACATATTGAAACTAGTTTCTCTGATTTCAAGTCTTCTTATACTTTGTTCCATATAATTTGATTTTTCACTAAGTTTTTTTGAGCCAATTGTAGTTTTACCAAAATCACCAAGCTTTAGCTTCACTTAAATGCATGTAAGACACTGTTATTCTAATACATATAAATTCATAGTTAGAAAACATATTCAAGTATGTTAAGTGGAATATATCAAGTATTAAACATTCATTTTTGAAGTATGTACTCAAACATAAAGAATCTTTATACAAAAGCTATTGAAAATAATCTCTTTTAAACTATTATTAACCCCTACCACAAAAGCCAGCCCGGCATTGTAATGTAAACCTAAAAAATTTAATCATTCCAGAAAAGTTTGATTAGACAAAAAGAAGACATTTGGGAATATTTTCAAGGTCTAAGTTGCTGTGACCTGACCTGCAACCATGACAGCCAACATGGAGAAGTTAATTTGTAAATTTAAAGTAAAATGATGCTGCACTGAAACATTCTTGAAATGTTCCAGATGTGTTGGTTCAAGTGTAGCAATTAAGATAAACTGTGGGTCTAGGTCAGATGAGGAAAGAACATATTTGAAGATATCCCAATCAATTTAACATACCAGCTGAATCAAAGATTTGTCAATTGATTATTGGATTGACAGCGAAGCAAAAAAACAGGCACAATAGTATCGTTAACTTCAAAAATTGGGATTGGAATAATATATAAGAAATCATTAGTTTCTATGTTTTGTGAACCTTATAGTTAATAACAACAAAAGATGCATTGTTGAAGTTGAAGCAGATGCATTACAAGATGATTTCCCTAGCAATTCTTAAATTAAAAATTCCATTTCTGCAATGAAGAGTAAATATAAGAAGAATGGTATAATGCCCAGTACTGTATCATCGTAGTATAATCCGGAGTCGGAGCCCCGAAGGCAGTTCGACATTGATTCCAACCCCGTTCTGGCAGCTCCTGCGACCGCGTTGACACCAAACTGTATCAGCACTGCTGTTCCTTTGGCCCCGTCATCAAGGTGGAGAGGGGAGGCAAGTTGCGTGGGCAACAGCCTGTCCCGCATATCAGAATGCCCAGGCTTACATCTACTACTACTACTAGTATAATCCATACAGATTTAATCATGTCATATTTTTCATTAGTATTTAGTTTTTCCCATTTTAGAAGTTGCATTGAACTTCATACATCAACATCTATCGAAATAACCCTAAATCACTGCTTTCCAGAATGACACTCCTTTTTGCCATACTATGTTCAGTACTAAAGCTCATGTGGCAGGTTTTAACATCAACTAAACAGCAAATTTTATTAAGAATTTTCCACACAGACAATCCTTAATAAACATACCTCATCAAAAAAAGCCTGGGTTTTACGCAATATATGCTTCAGTTCTGTTAATTCCAAGTATGTTTTCTTCAAGGCTTCTGCATTGGTATTTACTTCTTTCAGTTCATTTTCCAGTTTTTCAAATGTTGCCTAAAAAGAAATATACAAAAGCCTATTACATAAGCATATTTTATGGTCATACAACATTCAAGAGAGTAACATAGGTACAGTAAATATCAAATATTATTAACAAAAAATAATAAACAATGCCAAATCTGCCTATATTTTTTTAAATAATAAAAGCACGAATAATAAAATACTTTAATATTAGTGGTTCCCTCTCCGAAAAATGAATTTACATTTATATTACTTGTAGGACTGAAAATTAATATTAGCCTTGAGTTAATGCAAGTACTTGCTTTAGGTGTACAAAACTATGAGAAGTGTTCCAAGAAGTATGCATACGGTTGTAAGTCACAGTAGTGCATTTTCTGCACAAGTTTATATGAACCTTCTATAATCTTATTTGCATTAGATAATGGAAATTAATTGAGAAATTAAAGTCACACAACTTATGAAAATATGTTCCATTCTTTCATAGAAACAATGACTGTTCTCCCTATAATCCTGGGTGAACTTATTTTAAACATCTCTGGTCATTTATTTCAATGTTTTCTCATTTGGAAAACTTTGCCAAGATTGCAAAATTACATAAAAGTAGCCTCATGCTAATGGCAATAATGATAAACTATTACAGTGCATAAAATGAGTTATTAAGCAGAGGTACTGTAAATTGTTCTCATCACATCAACTGTTCCCAATTATTTGTTTTTGTGATATAAAAAAAAAGTTTATTTTAATTTTATTATTTTTCTGTCTTTGTTGGCAAATTATCTTTAATTTTCAGAAAATATAGTGCATTCTCTAAATGTTTCTTCTCAGATTTACACTGACCTCAAAAAAGTTTACCCATCATAAAAAATAAAAGAAATCCATAGATTCAAAAAAAATGTAGTTCTTGTATCCAGTGCATAGAGTGAAAAAAAAACTTGTCAAGAATACAAAAAAAACAACAAAATATCATACTAAAATAACTTTGAAACTAATCCAAAAAATGTTTTTGTAAAAATCCAAACTCAAAAAAGAAGATAAAATTAAGTAGGGGAGGGGGGAGGGGGGATAAAACTCACTTTCCATATTTTGGACTTAGAATAGTGTAGTAAATATACAGTGGAAAAATCCAATATAATATAAAACATCTGACTTACTGAGTAAATTGTATGGATTCAGTGAAAGAGTATATAAAAGTTAGCTATGATAACTGAGACCAAAATATCTTTTCACTAAATAATACAGAGATGGGAAATTAGTGGAATTTAGTAATTGATTATTCATTATGCTCCTTAATCATTTATATTTAATTAATCAATTATTCTCATATAACACCTGAATAGCTGGAATTATCAAAATCTTAAGAAACATTTGATTACTATCTGGACATTATAAAGATTTTGCATGTGAAATTTAAAAATTTTCTAATGCACAAAAGTATATTTAATCTTAAAATGAAAATTACTTTGCGTGATAGATAGGCAACATGCGAAAAGAAAGGCATGAGAAAAATATTATTTTACAAACCTTAAGACTTAACCCATTAACTGTGGATGACAGATATTTCCGTCACTGAAGTTCTATGGCTCAGCTGCGAATGACTGAGATATCCGTCAGTTGCAGACATATATAACTATAATTCTATGCGATTGACAAAAATTACCATTTTATTGTGATGGCAACTCAGTTTTATCTGCTGCAGTTAATGGGTTAATAAAAAATATTTGATATTTTGCATATGAAGGCATTGTGATGTTAACTGATAATCTGCCAAATTTTGTTAACATTCATTTACTAATTTAAAAGGTATAGCACGAAAACTATAACAAGCACAAAATGGTTACAAGGTAGGTCCCATGCTGAAAGAGTTAAATAAACAATTATTAGTGTCACAAGTAGCCTTCAATAATGATTGGACATGTTAAAAGAATGGATTGTTAACTCAACCAACTAACTCTTAAGGTAGCATTGTTCTTTTTCATTAAATTGAAAGAAATTAAAAACAATTTAATGAAATTGTTTTTAGAAAACAATAACCTTAAGTTCATTAGCACATTCACAAGACTGTTTGATAAGCCCATTGTTTTAAGTTTTTTCTATTTAATACTTGAATAGGCACATACTACATTCAGCAAACTAAATTCTGTTCCTAGCTTCACCACCATTACTCTGTCACTCAACTTTTTCACCTCCACTAGTTTATTTATTATTACTGCACTCAATCTAACTACTACCCTATTTATTTTCTTTGTAGTCCCATGAAAGATAAGAAAACATTTAGAAAACAATAACCTTAAGTTCATTAGCACATTCACAAGACTGTTTGATAAGACCATTGTTTTAAGTTTTTTCTATTTTATACTTGAATAGGCACATACTACATTCAGCAAACTAAATTCTGTTCCTAGCCTCACCACCATTACTCTGTCACTCAACTTTTTCACCTCCACTAGTTTCTCTTTTATTGCTGCACTCAATATAACTACTACCCTATTTATTTTCTTTGTAGTCCCATGAAAGATAAGTTTGTAATCTTCTACAATTTCCCATTCCTAACTTCCTTTCCATCACGTCTCCTGTAAGCACATTATCTGTACTCTCCTCCTCTTCAGAACCTCCGCAAACTCTGCACTCCTTCTTCTCGATGTTCCTACGTTCCAGCTAGCTATTCTGATCCTCTTTAGCCACATCCATTGTAACAGATGAGTCTGTCCTAGTCCACTTTTCACAGTGCTAAGGCAATACTACTGCACATGTTTCTGGGAAATGCCCTGGCTCTATGATCTTATCTTTGTTGAACCAATTTTCACAATTTGGCAAGAATTGAGTTTTGTGACCATCTGCCTGCCTGATGTCAATTCTTCTACTTTTGAAACTTGGCTTGGGACCAGCTTTGAAGGAGTTAAATAACCCAACTGAGCTACTCATAATGCCTTTGAAGGCTTTATAATTGATTTTACTTCTAAAGTTACAAGTAGGCTGCAGTTATAAGCAAATAATAATGACAGTAATATAAATTTATCAGTAGTATTATCAGAGGACTAGTTTGACCCTCCCCCACAAACACACACTACATCCTGGACTGTCCATTCTGTGTAATAGTTTTTCAAAGTCTGGAACTTTAACATTTAATATAAGTTAAAACATAAATGAATCATACGTTCAAAAACATTCCATTTAGCAAGCCCTAATTTCTCTATTTTATATAAATATTATTTGCCAAATATCATAAGATAATTTTGCCCATGTTTTGAAAAATAATTTTCTTTCCAACAACAAAAGAAGTATTCAACTAATTAACACATGATGTAGATCTATAGCCAAAACTGTTTCTTTTTATATATTTTATTGTTGATGTTTTTAGGTTGATAAAGTTTATCAACTTTACATAAAAATTTGTTGTTTGAAAATGTCAAAGAAATATGTTTATTTTCATCAACAAAAATTCAATAGTTTAGTACAGTAATATTGTAAAAATTTGTATAGAGATATCTGTGGAACACTATTAATTGTATCATTTTCAAAGTGATAAACGTTTTATACTACTTTAAATGTATAATACATTCCCATGTACAACAGTTTAGGATGGACAAAATAACTTACTCCTAAATTATTGTACCTGAAGACAGGATTTCCTCAAGAATGTCATATATTTTTGGTACAAATTTTTAAGAAAATTTTATTATTTAATTCTAAGTATTTATAAAATTATAATTCAAATACTTTCAAGTCAATATTTTGTCATATTATGATTCTTTATTAGTTTAATTCATAAAGAAAAAAGTTAATATTTTCATTTCTGCAGAACTGCAAAGTCTTGCATGTAAATAAAACAACTTATTTACCAATTTATTAATTTTTTTAAATTTTTTAGCCCTTTCCAAAAAATGTCTTTTTACCAATAACCTATCACCCCTTAAGAATATATTGCCCATTTCTTGATATTCAAGTGCTTCTCTTAGTTTTTGTATAGGCCTTAGTTGAAACCTTGCTATATGAAGTGGTTTAATCATTCATTAATAAAACACAGCTTTGAAAACAGCTGTAAAGAAAAATTTGAATATCATTAGATAGAGCAAGAATTAGTCTATAAAGTATTAAATACAGTAAATATACAGGTTTAAGAGTTGTTTTTTTTATAGTTTCTGTAAACATTCCTCTCCTTGTGAATTGTGAAATTAGTTGTTAAATTATATGTTTGAAAGCTACATGAACTGTCTTCAATGAGAAGAAATCAGATAACTTAAGATAAAATGGGTAAGTTTATACAGTTTAGGGAAGAGTTGAATGGGTAACAAAGAAACCTTTATTAAAAGTTTAACACAGTAACAAATGTACAATATTAGATAGTTTTGTCATCATCAGATTTAAATAATTTAACTAAACACTTAGCTAGTAAAAGCTTTGTTATATCCAAAAACTTTTGTAACTAGAAATTTCAATATCTCCAAATACAACTGCTCATTGTAGCTTAGTGCTGCTGCTGTGGCTTTGTTTACATTCCTTCCCATTGGTAAGCTTCAGTTGTCAACTACCTGTATTGTGATTTACATTTGAAATATTGTACTTATAAAAGATTTTATACAGTTTAAGACCTTTTACAACATTTATTACTACTTAAATCTATTATTGTTACAGATGATGTAGAAATATACTTTACAGCATCAACAATGGGTCAAAATTTATTCTGTAAAATATCATGAAAAACAATGTTGGAGAATAAAGCTTTTACTGTTTATATATAATATGAAGCAAAAAAGTCACATGACTGGAGATAACTACTTATTGAGGTTATCTTGTTCATGTTTGTTTTTTTGTTTAAAATTACAAGGTTTTTATTTTTTAATTGATATACTATGGTTTTATTGAACTGCAATGTTTGTAAAAATGAGATTTCATTTTTATTATGTTCACCAAAATAAAATCATTATCAAATGAGATAAGTTTACTGTTTAGTGAGTATTGTACGCAATTGTAAGATATTGCGATTATTCAAATCTTTATTCAATATCATTTTTATCCAATTCAAACAACATACATAAATTACTATTACAAGTAATTAAATAGTAGTGACATGTTTTAAATAATTACATCATTACCCTTATTGTAAGATTAAAATGTTTTCATTATTTAATTTACAAAAGATCAGTGTGGGATTATTAAACGAAAAACAAAAAATGTCGATTACTTTGTGGTATTTAGTCGACATTAGCAATTTATCCACCAAGTAATAAATGGTCATATAACTTGTGGGAATTTTTTTTAGACAAAAAATAGTTTTTTTTGCAAATAGGGACCTACAGAAGAGATCTGTTGTATGAAATCATTATTTCAATTAATCAATTGTTCGAATAATTTCAATTATTTAATTTAATCTTAAGTTATTTTACAATTATTAAAACAAATCACATTAAAAACTTGCCTCCAGATCAATCATCTCTCTAGGCTGTGGAGCTTCAGGGTTGTCTCCAATATCTAACATTGGAATGCCATCTTTTTTTATTTCTTTTTCCAAGAAACCTATAGACAGTTGGTCATTCAAAATACCTTTAAGTATTTAAATAAATAAAAAAATATCATACAGTGTTACACAATGCATAATATATTTGCAGGTTAGAAAACTTTTTGAAAAACTGAATTACATCACTGTTCCACAAATGGCCTAAAAAACTACAAACTAAAACAGTTACTAAACATACATAAATATTTCTTAACAAATGGGAAAAATTGGTGTAGCTGGACAGGTAATGTAAAGTGTATTTCAAAATTTAGATGCTAAGGTTTCTTTTAATTTCTCTTACCCCATAAATGAACAGTGTTAGTTATAGTAGTGTGTTAAAATACTATATTTTTGTGTATTATATCAAACATATAGTCATTTCTTTAACCATTATACGTGTGAACAAGAGGTCATACTTCAAACAACTTATGTGAAAACTTTGTAGCCATTCTGAATGCACCTCTCATTGCTATCACGCTTTGTACTATCCCTATGTTTGTATAAACAACACTATAACCAAAGCATAGCATACCAACTAGTCACTCAAAGATCAATACTGAATCTACATATGATCTTGTGTTACAGTATGTAATTTATTAAGGTTATTAACAACTTACATAAATGTTTTAGTAGAAGAGTAAACTCAAAAAATTCTACAGATTTTACCTTTAACAAGTATATTATAGTAATGCCTAGTGATAAAAGAAGCTATTAAAGTACAATATAAACTTAGTGTTTATTACAGGTAGTTTTGGCAAAACAACAACATCATTATTACCAGCTTAAAATGTGGAGAATTTCACAACTTTTAATTAATAAATTATAAATTAAAAAGTATATTTAATTAAGTATCATATCCAATAATATGAAACCCAAATAAATTTGACCACAGAAAAACTTACAAGCTACAGTATGAACCTATCTGTTAACAGCTTTTTTGGTGAGGTTATGAGTTGATAAACTAGACAGTAATTTGGTACTTTGATTGTACCTTTAAAAATATTTTTAAACAGTCTGTGAACATCATTTGTTGTTGATGAAAAGCTGGGCTTTGAAGAAGGACAACAAGAAATAGGTAACTCCATTATAATTGTGCTGAAGGCAGGTGTTTCAAGTAGGCTTGAGAGAGAGAGAGAGAAAAACAAATAGGTGAGAGAGATAATGGAATCCTGGAAGAGAAGGGACTGTTAACTGAGGTGATGAAAAGAAAAATGGTTAATATGCTCACTGAAAGAGATGTCAGCTTGGTAGTAACCAATCTGAAGGGATTATGAATAGCAAAAACAGACAAGGAAGGAGAAAAATGATTTAGTAGAAAATGTCAAGAAGCAGACTGTGAAGAATTTGGAAGAGATAGAATGAAGAGTCATAGCAAAAGAAGAACTCTTATAAAGAAACCCTGCAGTTTTTTAGGACTAAAGATAAGTAGATAAATCAATTTAATAACTTCCAGAATTTAAATTAAAGTAGAATAGTCTAGGCAGAAATTTCTAAAAAAGGGTCTAGAAATTGATGCAAAAAGAAAACCATGTAATAAGCTGGCAGCAGATGTTTTTAAAATAATTTAACCCCACTGATTGTGAAAATTGAAAAATGAACAATGCTACTCTTTTTGTCTTCACTGGTTAGAAAAAGAAATTGCATGTTAGTGTAATAACTATGCCTTTTGAATAGCTTAGCTGGATGTACGAGTGTCTGCAAGACAAAAGCTGCAGTTAAATCTTAAGCCTGACTAATGTTACTAAAAGTTTGTAATATAAAACGCTGATGATAAAGAGAAGAGCTACATTCTACTTCTATCATCAAAACTTTGAAGAGTTTGAACCTTTCAATCATGTCAAAAGAAAGCAAGAGGAAGGCGTAGAGAGAGCAACAAACACAAATAAAATAAATAATTTAAAATGACACTTCTGTAAAACATCTATTTACAATTAAAAGCAATATGACATTAAAATCATTACACAATAAATAGTTATTAAAATCAGGGACTTGCCCTAAAAAAAAAGATTACATATGTTTTGGTGTCCCACAACACCATCTTCAGGAGTCATTGTTTATATACCCACATAATCATTTACAATTCTACAGTGCCACCTAGGCTTAAACTACCCAGAGTTACAAAACATCTGTCCAGTACTTTATTATTTCTAGACCTGGACCAGCTTTCTGGTTTAATACGATATCTTTGTTCTTTTCAATTTCAATGGTTTCTTTGATATTTAATTCAATTTTAAATTCTACCTATTTTATCAACTTGATGTTAACTCCATTCTATAACATATTTCTGCCACATGTTCTACTAATACTAGTTAACTTACAACATGATACACTACGTTCTATGTATTTGTTTTCATTATATTACCCATTCTTGTAGATAAGCCTTGAACATATGGTAAACAAACTCTCATGTTATCTGCTTTACATTTTCTCTAACATTGTACATGCTAACATTTTTCATTTATTGATATGTTTATGATGAAATCTGTCAATAATTTTGTTTTTATATCTCTATCCCTAGCTACACATTTTAAGAAACTTAGCTCTACTATCACATCACAATCATGAGTGCATATTTTTAAGGCTCTAAGATGTCTAGCAAACTTCCCAACATGTTCTTTAACTTCTGGAGTGCCATCTGCTGCAGTTGTTCCCACTTCACTTTGTTGGGTAGGCCTTTTATGATCAAGTCAGTCAAATTGTGCATCAACTTCAACAAAGTTTGGGATGAACTTCCTCTAGTATCTCACTAACCCTAGGAAAGATCTGACTTCCTGCTTGGTTGTTGGAACTGGTGCATCTTGTATGTGGGTTAGCTTTTCCTCTTCCATGATTATCTGTCAGTCATCCACCTTCTGTTCAACAAACTCCAGCACAGAATAGCCAATGTAGCACCTAGATGGTCTGATAGTCAGATATGCTGCCCTCAATCGTGTGAACAGGTCTCTAAGTTTCTTCAAGTGGTCTTTCCATCTCAATATGTATGTCATAATGTTGCCCACACAATGCTCGATGTTTGTGGTGTGCAACATCTTCATCATGCAGTTGAATGTTACTGCTGAGTTGACTAACCCAAATGGCATACTCTTAAACTGGTAACATACATCTGGTGTCACAAAGGCTGCCTTCTCTTTAGATCCTATCTCTATCGGGACCTGCCAATAACCTTTACTGAGGTTGATCTTTTGAAAAAGAACTTGGATCTGTCTAGTTTTGCCATGATAGCCTCTGGGTTGCCCATAGGTTCAGAGTCAAACTTCATCCTGAGGTACAGCTTCTGGAAGTCTATGCAGAAGCAGTTTGATTCATCCCACTCATTCACGATTACAACTGATGAACAGTAGGCTGAATTTGAAGGCTCAATGTTTCCAGCTTCTAAGGTTCCTCCAAACTTCTACCTCTTGGTATATTACCAATCACCAAGTCAAAGATGGATGCTTTCATACACATGGCCTCAAGATCTTGCACATAATATGGAGAGTCCACCTTTTTTCTTGCTATGGGAAACTTTCTCACTGTCCCATCAATCAGCATACACAGATGTACCTTGCCCACCATCTGGTCCTCAGATACAAGACTGGTTCTCACTGGTGCACTATTGCACCCAATGTATTATAGGACCTTCATTTTCTTTTCCCCAACATAGCCTTTGGCTATTGGCATTTTATTATTAGTTGGTGCCTCTTGAAGTTTGACACATGCTCCTATCACCACTGGCACTGTTAACCTATTTGCTAACTTGAGCTGACCCTCAGTCCTACACTGTTTGATCATGGAATTGGCACTTCCTTCTTGTGGTGATCTGACAGGTTCTGGCAGCAGCATCCATGGTGATAGTCACTCCTTTCTTGTTTCTGGCCAGTACCATCTTTGCAGGTAGCTCCAGCTACTTTATGTTGTGATTTATCCTGTTGCTTGTTGGTTCCAAACTTGCACTAATTTGCGATGTGCCCTATTTTATAAAAAATATAGCATCTCTTCTCCCATTTGTCTGTTAACCACCTGTCACCTTTGGTTGACTCCTGTTTCTGGTCAGCTACCACTGGTTTTGACTTTAACCAGTTATTCTTGGACTTGTTAGTTATACTCCTTCCATGGGCTTCCATATACTGTTCTGCCAGCTTGATCATCTCATCCATGTCTTTTGGTGTTCTCTCCTTGAGGAACAGTGACATGTTAGTTGAGCACATGATCATGAACTGTATTAGTTTATCTGCCACTTCCTCAAAACTATATTCACACTTAGCCATGTCAGTCCATCTTGTGAAGTATTGCCATAGACATGCCACAAATTGAAATACAGTTTCTCCAGTGTTAAGTTTGACTTCTCTGAATTTCTGACAAAAACCTTTTTCAGTAAGTTCATAGCATTTCAGCAAGGCCACTTTTAACTTGCCATAATCCATGGCATCTTCTGACATCGTACCTGTGAGAAGTGGGCGGAGACAAACTACCCAGCAACCTTTGTCCCAGTTCCGACAAACTTTCATATCTCTCCAGAAAAGCATCCATGTTGATCTTTCTATTCATCATATTTGGGCAGTTTGGGTTGGCTGGCCCTGAACCCATTGTCATTCTTGGATTCATCCTTTTTCTGTTGGGTGAGCTTGGCATTCTCAATTTCAGCTCTTATTCTCTCCATTGCCAGTCTCTCATTTTCTTATTTCTCAATTTATACTCTTATTCTCTCTATTTCCGGTCTCTCCTTACCTTATTTTTCTTCTTTCAGTCTTTTTCTTCCTTTTCTTCTTTCAGTCTTTCTTCCACTCTTCTCTGCCTACACTCTTCTTTCTCTAGGTTTTGTGGTTGTTTAACAAACTCTCATAGATCACTATCTTTTAATCCAAGTCACTCACCTCTCTTTATTTATTGTGTAATGATTTTAATGTTGTATTGCTTTCAATTGTAAATAAACATAAAAAACACAGGAAAACAGTTATAGTAAAAACATAAATGTTTATTTGAAATGTAGACTCACTAAATTTCTAGAGCTAGAAATGTCTAGCTGCACTGCTTAGAAGAAGGGCAGAATTAAATTGATACTCTTTGTTAAAACTTATACACTGTAAAAAATGAAGGTAAACATTAATACATTATACTTTTTAACTTACGCAACTTTCTCTCCATTTCATCACAGCGGCGGACTTCATTAACAAATTTCCTTTGGAAAGAGTTAACATCAGGATTAAGCTGCAAAATATTTTATTAAAATATCACATGTAAAAACATCTAAAATGCAAAAAAATATTAAAAAGCTTTAACACTGAAAAGCTATTAAAATATGACAAAACACATTCCATATTAGTAAGTGGAAAGGAGGTATGAAGACAACCATAATACACATATACATACTATTTAAGACAACATGGGACTTGTTGGTCCATCTAGGCAATCCCATCCACAATATTAAACTAAAATAAAAATAAAATGCTCAAAGCCAGCCTGTATCATTCAAATATTTATCAAGCTTTCCAGTGGAACACACAAAACACTGTAGGTTTAAAAAAACCTAAATTAACTTTATCTATTACATCTGAAGGCAATCTGGTCCAAAGACCAACCACCCTGTTAGAAAAATAAAGCTGTTTTGGGGAAAGATGACTCCTACTCTGTCAACATATATACATCCTCTAATCTTACCATTCTCACTATTTAAGTATGAAAAATGATGATGCATCAACACTATCAAATCCCTTTACAATCTTAAAATGGATTTTTCTCACCCCATAAACATAAGTATGGAAATTAGAATGCTTGATTATAAACTGGCAACTTTCATACCCAGTACAAACGTAAATTATCAATGTAGGCACAAATCTGAAATGTAGTCTGCAGTGAACAGAAACATTAATTATATTCTTTAAATTTATAATTTAGTCATCACATACTATAGGCCTACCAACAGTATTACCCTCACTTTATCAAAAAAAAAACTGAAAAAGGAATAACCCTTACAAGTTATAATATTAGTAATCAATACTAAAAGTAAAATATTGTAGTATTAGTTATAAGTAATGCATTATCACTATATCATATGAATGAAGACAGGAAAAGCAGAAACCCTCTAAAAGTAAAACTCAATCCATGCTAAATTATATAATATATTCCTATTACATGACAAATTTATAAAATTATTAAAATGCAATAATTAAAGTATAATTCTGACTTTCAAAATATAAAAATATCAATTATCATGCGAACTTACGTCTCTGAACTGCACAAGCCCAAGTTCTCCTAGCTCAGATACACAAGCGTAAGCTGCTTCAGATTGAAGAAAAAGCTGACATAATGTCATCTCTTCACACCGAAACAACGAACCCATCCTAAATGTAAGTACTCAACAAACGTTTTAATACATATAAATTATTACCTTTAAGATTAATCTTAGTCTTATACTTTCGCAATAGAACTTCCTACACCGTAAACGTCACTAATTCAACTAATCTTTGACTAGAGTACGACAATCCCGTATGTCTCAAAAAAGATACAAAATAGAGGGCACTGCTTCTCACATCTTACCCTTAACCCTCTATTTATTGTACACTGTAACGTACAAGAAACAAATCTATCATTGTCGCTTGATACATATACAAATACTTCTATTCTGTTGTTGAATGCTAATATTTCCAAGAAGTAGCCTGAATAAATCATGGAATTACTCTTGTTGGATTCTCAATAGAACAGTATGTAACGTATACATTTATAACTTACTAAAATATATTGTTGCGTCAGCGAGGTCACAAAATCACTTCTTTCGCAATATATACCCATTTAAGTAAGAAATTCGAAGAAAAACGTTTTCCACCATATTTTCATAATACGAGCAATAGAGGATTGAATATTTGAAAGAATTGTTTATAGTGTTTTAGAATTTGTTTCTTTCAACATACATTTTTTTATAGTTTTGTAACATTTTTTCTCTCTTGCGTCCAAGTGGAATACCACTAAGTAAAACGAGATATTACATAAAAGACAGGTGTAAAGTTAGCACGACGAATGACCGTATGGGTGTTACGTCTCTGTATATTTGTTTGTTAATTTTTCTACAATACAAGTCCTTTCTTAAATAAAACTTGTTTATTCTTTCTCTATACAACTTTGCAATACACTTAATTTTCACAGTTACACACACTATAGTTCACAACAATTCACTCACTTTCTACTTCGCTTGACTCAATTGTCCGTCTCTATCTCCGCCTGTCAGTAATTATAGTTCCGATCTCTGTATCTGCTATCCTCGGTTCTCGCCGACCGTAACAGCTGTCCTTGGTTCCCATTCTCTCCCTCTCTCTCTCTCTGTCTAGCGCACTTATATACGATAATACCGCCTCTTCTAGAATCTTCTAGGCACTCAACACGAGCTACCAGCGTCACTTGACTTCCGCTGTCGTAACACACTAGCGTTTATCGCGAATCTTCTAGAATACTAGTCACGTGACCCCCGCTGTCGTAACACTGCTCCTTCCTTAGTATTGTTCGTCCCGAACAATAGCCAATTACATTAAACCAATAAACAATTAACAATAACTTAATTAAATGTACAGAATTTACAAACACAAAATCAAAATTCAACAAAGTATTTTAATTTTACGGGACGTATCTTCTTCCGTACTGGTCTCCATCTCGTTGGCTTCTGCTTCAAGTGAGGTTCATCTGCTTCATCAGGAAACGTCCTATCATTGGTAACAGTCACATCAGTGGTAGTAACTTCATCAAGGGCTTCACTGTTTCCCTTCTCAAAATTGAATAGAGTTTCTTCTTCGACAGTGGCTTTTTCAGGTGACACGTCTTCAGCAGCATCATTTGTTCCATTGTTCACTTCAACCCAACTGAAATGTCCTGGACTGTGATAGCCAAAGCCTGTTGGTATGTACCACATTTGGCTTACCTCGCCGACCACATTTTATCCAGAAAGTCACGTCTGAGAGATGATCCACTACTCTTTCCATTGGTGCGCCAACTTGATATAACTTCATTGGAGCACGTCCCTTATGCTTGGGTCCCCTTCTAGCACAACATGTACTGCATGTTCTGCACCATTCTTCCACATCTTGCCTCATACCTATCCAGTAAAATCTCTGTCGTAGGTGACTCAATGTCTTCTTAACTCCAATATGTCTTCCTGTTAAAGTATCGTGGGATTGACGCAGCAC